AACTTCACGAACAATTCACTCCATTAATAATAGAGTTGGCGAAGAATTCAGTGAAAACGGGTGAACCTATAATGAGACCCATTTGGTGGATCGCACCCAACGATCCCAAAGCCTTTCTAATTGACGATCAATTCCTCGTCGGTAATGATCTACTCGTAGCGCCCGTTACCACAGATAAGGCCCGAAAACGAGATATTTATTTACCTTCAGGTGAATGGAAAGACCAGAGAGGAGTGGTTCACACCGGACCACAAACTCTCACTGATTTCAAGGCTGAGTTAAACGAATTGCCATATTTTACCAGAAATAATTAAATTTTGTTATTATAATCTTAAATTGTATCATGATAAAATGTTGCGCTTTATCAATAAAGTCTAATTCTTTCATTTATATGACTGATTATTTTAGATTCTTGTAATACTACAGACAATTTCAACACTTATGTGACAGCTATGAGAGGAGCCCCGTCTTAAAGTACCAGACATAGAATTGAGCATGTAGAAAATATTACCGTAATATCCCATAGACAACGCGCACCCCGTATATAACGCGCATCTTAAAGACTGTTAACATTTTAAAATAAAAGTGCTACATTTACATGTGTTTTTACAAAACGGTTAATTTTGTGACGTTTTTACTGGTTTTGAGATTAATTAATAGTTAAATTAATATTTAAAATAATCAATTTTATTATTAATTGATTAAAATTTGGGTGCTCACTTTAAGAATTCTCCAAGAATTTAAGTTTTTTCATTAGATAACGCGCGCGTTGTCTATGGGATAATACGGTAAATCTTATGTTAACCAATTTAGTTTTGCCTACATTTCGTTTTTTAAAATCATTTTTAATATTACTGTTAAATTGAAAAAGTGTCAAAAGTTCCATATTAACAACTATGATTTATTGTCATAAACTTTCAAACTTTTGAATTGTTTTATCACTTTTTAAAATGAAGTGTAAAACATTAATTATTTTGCCCCTGCCTTTAACTGTTACGCTAGTATTCTTCAGATCTGTATATGAATAATATGCGAATAATGTATAAAACATTGTTTTATAAAATGTACACAATTCAAGTGTAAATTAAAACGAAAGGGCATTTGTAACATGAATTTATAAGCACTTCTATTCATAAAAAGATAAATTACAATTAATCAACACTTTTAGAGGAGATAAACCAAAATAGGGCAATTGATCACTTAATTTAACATTATTTTATTCATTACTGATATTTCACATTCTTTTGAATAACAATCAATCATCGGTTTAACAGGAAATTATCATATTTTTAAATTGATAAATATTGATTGTATAAATAAATAAATACTGAGCAATATCATGATTATAGGGGTATACAACATAACAATTGTATAACAACTGATAGACAACATTTTGACTTAATTTAATTTGACTTAATTTTGACTTAAATTTAGTTGTGTTTTATATAATAATACTTTTTTAAATACAAGGATTAACTTATTTTCAGATAATTTGAATCACTTATAGATATGATATGAGTTAATATTGCGGAACAATGTTATCAACGATTATTGTTTTGCTGTTCTCTCTGTTGTCAGACTTCGTTCAGTTCTATATACTGTAACTACAAAACGCAAAGTTTGGCATCAAATAATAGTTTTGCATATTTTATGAATAGTTATTTTGCTTTTAATTTGATTAAAATGTTACTAAAATTTGTAATAATTGTTCTCTTAATAGAAACTATCCATAGCTTAGAGTTTGGGAAACTTATAATAAATGACAAACAAAGCAAAAACGATATTGAATTGAAAGCCAACCAAAAAGCAAATGCTGACGAAGTATTGGTCAACACAAAGAATTTGTGACTATATAATTCACAACACGGTTTGCTACAGAGTTTTTCACAATTTTAATAAAAGTCAGCGCTGGGCTTTCGGCTTGTGTTAATGCCACAGCAGTTTCTTCATCTTTTATTAGTTTATATATCTCATTATTCTATTGATTGGTTGAATCCATTACCAAATGAAGAGTTTTGTATTCATATCGGAGGAGATCAGCAATGGTTTAGTACTTATGAAGAAAATGAGCAAAGATGGCCTATAATCAAAATATATCTCATTATTCTATTGATTGGTTGAATCCATTACCAAATGAAGAGTTTTGTATTCATATCGGAGGAGATCAGCAATGGTTTAGTACTTATGAAGAAAATGAGCAAAGATGGCCTATTGATAAGAATAAGCACATGTCATCACCCGTCGCCTATTCAACAAATGACCATTTTCATAATCCGATCGGAGGTATTATTGAGTACTTATTTCTTGGTTCCCATGGATTTGCGATATTTATTGAAAGATCGGCTCCTCTTTTCATTAGACGGGATACTATTTCTGAAAATCAATTGCTTTGCTTTTCTGGAGATTACAGCAAATTCCCATTTGACCATGCTCCTCATAAAAACCAAATTAAAATTGTAATTCATTTGATGGCTTCAAACGATACAAAGTCTGTCTATAGATATGCGGCCAATAATTGGATTCAAAAACCAACCGGTATTCCCGATGAAAGGATGTTTAAATTTCCGATTTGGTATAATTTTATTTATTTGCTAACTTTATTAGAATAATTTATTGATTAAAATCGATTAAATTAAATGTATTATTTAGGTCAACGTGGGCTAAATATCACGCCGACATAACACAGCAAAAAGTACTGGATTTCGCCCAAGAGATCAAATCTCACGGCTTTTCAAACAGTCAAATAGAAATCGACGACAAATGGGAAGCAAAATACGGAGACTTTTCTTTTGATACAAAAAAGTTTCCAAATCCTCGAGAAATGGTTACAAAACTTAAAGATAATGGATATCGAGTGACACTTTGGGTCTATCCCTTCATTAATGCCGATTGCGATGTATTTAACAAAGAAAGTCAATATTTGATTAAAACCCAAAATAACTCCATAGCTGTGAAGGACTGGTGGAATGGAAAGGGAGGACACATCGACTTCACTAATAAAAAGGCTCAGCAATGGTTTATCTCACGCTTACAGCACATTAGGGACACAACAGGAATCGATTCATTCAAGTTCGACGCGGGAGAGCTCGGATGGATTAGTGCAGACTTCAAATTTAACGATCCGGTTATCGATGAAACGCCCGTCACTTTAACTCAATTATATGCCGAAACTGCCGCTCAATTGGGTATTGTTTGCATTTAGTAGTCTTATCTCTTTTTTAAGACTTGCTTTGATTTAAAAATATTTATATTCATGATATTATTTATATATTAATGAATACAATAGTTATTGAAAATTATAACATTTTAGGAAATATGATTGAAACAAGAGTTGGCTGTAAAACACAACATTTGCCAATATTTGTGCGAATGTTAGATAAGCTGTCAATTTGGGATTATAACGGAGGGCTTAAAACATTGATACCAACGGCACTTATGATGTCAATCGGCGGCTATAGCTTTGTGTTGCCGGATATGATCGGTGGTAACGCTTACGGGAATTTCCCGTCAAAGGAGTTGTATATCCGATGGCTTCAAGTGAACACTTTGANGAGTTGTATATCCGATGGCTTCAAGTGAACACTTTGATGCCAACCATTCAATTCTCGATCACTCCCTGGGATTTCAAAGAATCGTCACAAGAAGTGATAGATATCAGCAAATCTATGCTTAAACTTCACGAACAATTCACTCCATTAATAATAGAGTTGGCGAAGAATTCAGTGAAAACGGGTGAACCTATAATGAGACCCATTTGGTGGATCGCACCCAACGATCCCAAAGCCTTTCTAATTGACGACCAATTCCTCGTCGGTAATGATCTACTCGTAGCGCCCGTTACCACAGATAAGGCCCGCAAACGAGATATTTATTTGCCTTCAGGTGAATGGAAAGACCAGAGAGGAGTGGTTCACACCGGACCACAAACTCTCACTGATTTCAAGGCTGACTTAAACGAATTGCCATATTTTGCCAGAAATAATTAAATTTTGTTATTATAATCAATGTATAATTAGTTTGACAATAAAACCTAATGCTTTGATTTAAATAATTGATTAGTTGCAGATTATTGTTAAAATAATTAACACATAATAAATATAATATACAATACAACTATATTTTATAGTTTTATTAGTAGTCTGAAAGTATCAAACATTTATTCATTAATAAATTATTTAAAATTTTCAGTAAGAATTCTTAACTCATGAATTAAAGCAAAATCTTATTACATTTATAAGTACATAAATTTCACTTAATTAGTGAGAGTCAGTCAGATTGAAAAGGAAGGGAGAGAGAGAGAGATTTAACATCAAATTAAAGAGAATAATGAATTAAGAATAATAACGAAGACATTAATTTGCTTCTTGTGTTGCTTTAAATTGATTGCATTTGTCTTCCATTTCAGCTAAAAATTGAATTTTGTTTTAAAAAAATACAGAATATATTAAAGAAATATATTTATATTCTTACCATCAGAAGCTCCCAAACACTTTCCCCACTCGACTAATGTAATCTTATGGTCACTATTTTCATCGCAATTGTCCAAAAAATCTGATATACATGTCTCCATAGATAGCAACGGAGCCCGAAGTGGAAACAATTCATGACGCGATACATGCCTTGCAATAAAAGTTTGCAAATTTTAATAAATACTTTATAGAGAAAAGTATAAATGCGGTGAAAGTGGTGCGGCTATACCTGTCGTGCGGCTGTTTATCTAAATCACAGAACTTCCAAATAATAGCATCGATCCATTTCCGTGACAAATGTTCCGCATCTTCTTTAGTGGTGTGAATTTTTTTGCTGTTATAACACAACCTTATTATTACTAAAGATGTAAAGTTTGATGTATTAAAAGACAGACCTAATGATGTGATCCAACCATTCTCTCATTCTTCTGGGAAAGTCTTCGAGCACTTCTTTCCTGCACTCAGGAAGCTGTTGACATTCGCCGTAGTAATCAATGTGCATGTGTCGGTGGTTTTCAGTGCAATCGCTTGATTGGCCTGAAAGTTGTTATCAAAAATTCAAGTTTGTATTAAATCACAATATTGTCATTTTGGACACTTGTTGCAAAACAATGGCATAAATTATGGTCAATACCCTCGACACAAGTGCAACGATGTCTGAATAGATGACAGTCTGATTGCCAGGTCTCGTTGTGGTTGGAACAGACCCGACGCCGGACGTCAGTATTATCAGCACAAGCGCTGTGTGTTTAATACAATATTTATGTTTTATAAACATTTACAATAAACTTCCAACACTTGGATCAAAGCCAACATTTTTTGCTCTCAAATGAATTTCTCAATATTTGTTTTATATTAACATAAACTGAGACACGGAAGTGACAGACTATGCAATTAATGTGCACTGTATTAGTAGAATAACAATCAATGGTCACATACCTTATACACTGACACTTAGCTGTTCCCGACTCGGCATCAATGGTGCACTCCTTTCCGGTCCCGCATTTCATTTTAATGCACGGATCTGATTATTTAATACAATATTACAACATGGTCATTTTTAATGTGATTATTTAACACCATGTCATTTTCCACATGGTTATTTTAAAAGAAAAATCAATTTAAATAGAATATATTATCATTTAGTAATCATTTAGTATTTAATATAAATACATTATTAAAAGTTCTAATTTAAAAATAAACTTTATATACCTCATTAAAATTAAAGAACTTAAGTTATATTCTAAACAAAATCTTTAACGATTACTAAAAAATATTTCTAATTTTAATAAAGATTTTTCAATTATACTAAATATAAGGTATAATTATATTTAAATTCATAAAGAATCATAACGATTCATTATTAATGAACATTTTATTATAAATTAATTTCCTCAGAATCTTTAGCACTTTTAAAAATCAGCTATTTAATTTTATACAAAGATAATTAAAATAACAAATGGTGCTCATGTAAAGTTTTAATATTTATATAATAAAATAATAATCCAATCTGATCTTGCTTTATTTGAAATAATTAATGTATGTTTTAAACATAAAATGTATGGAATTAAACAAGGTTTCAATAATCAAACATGAATTCAAATTAAGATAAACTATTTGAACAATACATACCCTGTTTTGCTTCATTGGGAGCTTCAGTGTTAGCCACTATAGTATTGGTTTCTTCGGTTGTTTGACTCTTTGGTTGCTTTCTTTGCTATATTTTGCAAAAATTAAAGTAAAAACTAGTATTTTTGATAAAATAATACCTTTTTAGCCGCAAAGGCAGAGACGACAAAAAGGGTTAAAATAAACACAGTTATAAATTTATTCATTTTATTTATAAGTTGTATAAAAGGTGTATAAGTTATTCAATTAGTATCGGAATAAATGCAAAATGAATGGATATAAGTGTAGACCGAAACACCACACCCTAACTAAACCCTAACTAAACGCTAAACGTCTAAAAGCCTTCAAAAATAGAGCAAAAGGGAGAGTTAAACAGATGTAAAGTCTTCTAAGATATGGTATCTTAACTGTGGTTTCGCAGCGAATGCGAGGAAAATGTTTAAAATAAACAAATAGTTCTTTATTTAACTTTTTATAACACAATCCAATTGCCTATCGTTTAAGTTATTCTCTGTTAAATGAAAGATTTTAAAGCTTTCAATAATAGTTTTTTCTAACAAATTATTATTTAAAAACATTTTACTCTTCTTCAAAAACAATTTTGTTAATTGTCATTAATTTTATTCGTATTTTAAATTTAAATATTATTATCCAATGAATTGATGTCAGATTTAATAAAAGTGATAACAAGTACTACAAATGAAGTAGTGTAACAAAATTGTGTAGAATATCATATGAAATTATTATTCTTGTATTCATTCAATAAGTAATTCAATCTTTCATTTCATAATAGAGAATAAACGGTATTAGAGAACAGACTATAAGCAAAGATAATGGACACAAGTTATGGCTTTATGAAACGTACAAATGAAAAGCCAATAAGTTTGGAATAGAATCAGTTGTTGAAAGTGTTACACATTTTCAATATAATAGACTAATATTTTCATATTCTGTTAAGACTAAAATTATTTCAAGATAAAATCTCAACATATTTTTTACATAAAAACTATGAATTAAGTGAATAAATATTAAGACTATAAAATTTATAGTATAAATAGTAATAATAAAAATATTTGCAAACGAAGCCATTTATTAGCTTACATTCGGAAAAATAATAATAAAAATTAAAACATTAAGAAATGGATGTATTTATTACCGTTATGTCTAATTCTAGAAGAATAACATTTAAAAAATAGAGACATGAAGTATTTAAATATTACAGTTATTATAAAAATTAGTTAACATTTTAATATATTTTGTGATTATTTTGGCAATTTTGAATATGTTTGAAAATAATTAATGTTATACAAATGCAATGTTGTTTTGTTATTACTAGTTATTACAAAAGTTAATTACTATAATATATTTGCATTAAAGTATCAATTTCACCAAACATTTACTTCATTTTTAGCCGCAGATAACACGTAATCAAAATAATTTCCTCAAAATATAACTTTTTGATCACATTTTATGAATCGAAGGAATATAACTGTAATGTTGTAAAGTTTAAGTCTTTTATAATTACGGAAGTGTTTACAGTATATTAAATCTCTTATAATATCAATACTATCACTCGTATTTTTAACATTGTTAGTAATATTAAAATTACAATTACATTGCATATTTCCAAAATTGTGGTTTACATATCACTTGGTTTGCAAACTTATATTGTACAATTTGTACCGGTAATAATAATGATAAAATAAAATAAGTATAAAATAAAATTATAAATAGATATTTATTAAATTAAAATTAAATTACAATCTTAATAAATTCATTATAAAGCATAAATATAATACATGTATATTGTATTACAAATCATTATTAGAGTAACGAATCATTTTTATTGGAAAATTTTCAGTAATCAAGTGATTGTTCTCCAGTATAATAACGACATTCACTTCAAATTCTACAGCAAAATAAATCAATTATTAATTGCAAAATAATTACTACATTATAATAATGGTTGGTTTTGTACCGATTTTAAAGTTATTAGTTGTGAGCGAAGGACATGTGAATAGTCGGGGAAATATCATATAAATAGGAATAACAACCCCTCGACACACATTTCCCTCTCCTATTTGGATGTTTTGAATTTCAGTCGCTATACATTTGAAATGCAATTAAAGTAATCAAAATATAATGTAATCAAAGTTTGGTTGAATGCTAACCGTCGCGAGCGTATCCTTCAGCACATCCACAGGTCTCGACGCGGACTAACTGTAATTCAATGCTTCGGATAACGGCATCGCACTGTTCCACACATAGCTCTCCAGTGAACGGTTCCGTTATTTTACAGACCGTTGAATCCAAGTGACCGCTTATACGAAATCGAGGAATCTTTGATCTCTAGTCATTACATCAATCAAATGGTCAATTAAGCAATCGTTTCAATTCGCAGTCATATCATTAGTATTACATCTTTCACATTCTGAAGCGATTCCGGTGTAATTAAAAAGTTCACCGCCTTATCCATCGACGGCTGTATTTCCAATGGTTTTCGGTATTCAACAATAAATTCAACCACT